AAGGGAATTTCTGAGAACCTCAGATGAGAAGTTAAGTCTGAGATAGCAAAATATAATATATGTGTTTGAATGAAGATAAAATTGGTTGATAAAGGTTAATAACATTCCGTATAAAGGGAATCTATGTATACATCAGTTGAATAGTTAGTTCTCAGATAGCAAAACATAATATATGTGTTTTGAATAAATACTGGTTAAAACAGCACAATTCTTGCAGCACCGTTCTTGCAATAGAGCAATGAGATTGATCTGATACCACGCAATGTTTTTTTTGTAGGTGTGAATGTGTGAAGCCTTAATTGCGAAGTTAATATACTATAAGAATGATATTAACATAAGATTGGTTGAATGCAGGAAAATATATTCTAGATTGGATGGATCTCTGGAGTCTAATTTGGTAAGCTTACTCACAGGTAGCAACTATAGGATTGTGGTTGGTTGATTTGAAAATGAGAAAGAATTTAATGAATACAGAACAATGAGATTATATTTATTTGAAGTTTGAGGAGACCTCAGATGAGTGGCTAACATAGTGGAGAATTAAATATAGAATTTAGACACCATGGGTGGATTGGGTTTCAAAGATTTTGGATTGGTTGGATACAGAATATTCCGAGTATAAAAGAAAAAAATGTATAGATATCAGGATACAGGAACTTCATTGGTTGCATAAGTAAATACAGGACTATCATAAATCAGTAGAAAGTTACATCAATGTAGAGATGTCAGCTGAGACGCCAACACTTCTACAAATGTAGAACTTTGGTTGGTTATATGATAATATTTCTTTTGAATCTGTCTTGCTCTATATTGAATAGAGTTTCTTTTGTTAGATTTCATTAAAGACACTAACTAATAGTTCAAATATTGGTTGAATATGGCATAGTTACGTTAATGTTACTTGAGTGATGTAGGCCTCTTATTTCTTACAAAATACATTCGATTGTGACTCCTATGTGAAGCAGGATGTGCAACCGTGGGGCCATATATTGTGACTCCTATGTGAAGCAGGATGTGCAACCGTGGGGCCATATATTGTGACTCCTATGTGAAGCAGGATGTGCAACCGTGGGGCCATATATTTAGTTATTGCAATAAGTTCTAGAGATTTGAATTGTATAGATACCTCAGTTAATATCTGCTAGACAAACATATGATTGTGATTGGCTGCAAAGGTAAATTGATTCAAGATTCAATACAGTTCGGGTGGCCTAATCCAGTTTGCAATATATAGAATGTATTTGATGCAGGACTATGATATTCGGAGAAGAAAGATTTATTTGACATCAAACAAAAGTAAAATTGGTTTTAATGTATTGGGTGGAGTAACACTGAGCATTTTGATTAGGTGCATAGGTAAAGTTAAAACAGCTCAACAAAAAACTCAGAACATTATTTGCATAGTTCTGCCAAAAAACAAATATTAAAATTAAATAGACAACACCCCACAATCGTCGATGATAGCATCCATCTTTGATTAACAATACAGATCTGTTCATTTACGCAAAAGGTCCAAATTTGCGAGAATTAAAAATATCATCCATCAAAATTAGCATTCAAATTACGCCCAAGCGAACCAGTCACCAGAAACCAACAAATATTCACACTACCCCCTAAAAGTCAGTAGGTGGTCATTTTAATAGGAAACTTTTTTCTAGGGGAAAAAACCCATAGTTTTGTATATTGTAGAACTGTGGCAAATTCGAAAAAAAACAAGAGAACACGGCAATACAGCCGCAGCCAATGAGGGCATAGTTCAAATCATAGCTGCCAAATCACACTGATTGCTTCACTTTCTGTCAGTGTTAGAATGGAAACAGATGATTAATGAAAACATTGCCAATAATAAAGAGAGCATCGTCCATATCATAGAATTTCGTTAGCAAATATGGGTCGGATATTGATTGATATGTATTTAAAAGAAAGGTTAGGTTAGTTGGATGCCGAATCCAAGTATCCACTCTTCTCCTGGTTATTATCTGAAACCACCTTTTATCGTTATTAGAAGCCATATTGAACCATATTGTCCTTATTTGTCAACAAGTGTGATTTTTGCTGCTGCTACAACACTGTTAGTCTTACCTGTTGTTAAAGCTGTTCCCTCTTTTCCTATGTCACTAGTTAGCAAATGGCATATAATGTATAATTACAATGTACTGATCATATATTGTTAACACCAATTAATATCACTGCCTGCAATGCATTGTGCAATTTTATGTCATTATATTGTTCATGTTTTTCAAAACTCTCATAAGTATTTCGTGCTTTATAAAAATGGCATATTTATGCACCTAAATCAGTCCCCATAATTTATAGCACAGATTTTGCGAGAGGAAATGAGTAAATTATACTTGAATTAAAACAACATGAAAATGTTTCTTTTATAACTATAATCTCAACCATATTTTACATGACGTTCATATAAATTTAAATTGCAGAATGATGAAGTGGGCAAACCAAATATCGTTAAGGATTTACAAATTTAGCTATTTGTTTTTTTTTTTTTTTGTTTTGTGAAAAATAATTAGCGCGGAGCTCGATTGTCAATGTCTTGATCAAAAACAGACACGTGTTAATTGATTCAGTATTCAAATATTTGACAAAAATAAATAAAACATGAAAAACAATATGTGGAATTGACCAAACGCGTAATACGCCAAGCGTCCAAACTAACAAATATATATTCAGGATGATAATGTGTCAGCATTATTCAACACAAACGACAGTGGAATGAAATAACTAAACAGAGTATGGCGTACGCCAATAAACGGTAACGAATATATTGGTGGAGGTTGTTTGAGATGCGAGCACCTTTGTCATTCTTCCCTCAATAAATACCGTGCTTCCGAGTTAAAAACTTATATCGATAAATTGCTTGTTTTTATTGAAAAATAAGCAATATTAGTGCGTATATTGCGTAACATTCAGTAGCATTTTGATTATAATGTGCAATGCCAGTGATGTCATTCACTGATCAACTCATTTTACTATGGCCAATCACAAAGCGCCACAGAGTCAGACGCCATAACAGTCGGTTGAGTGACAGCAAGGTAGTCGCGAAAACAAATCATCGCTATTTTTAAATGTTATTAGTACTATTTTGAGCAATGGTAAAAAAGAGTTCCGATAGCTTTACCGGACTGGGTTTTTCCACCTTACAAAACTGCTGACGCAGCATTGTGCCATTGGCTGTGTTTATTGTTCCACGGCACTACTATGCTTTAAGCAGTAACCTTGCTCATGCCAACGAGGGTGCGGTCGTCAATTCGGTTTAAAACATTTCACTCAATATAACGAGATTCAATACAATTTGACCATAATCATGGCTGACGGAAAAGACGCAGGTAAAAAAGACGCCCGGACGAAGCTGAAAGACAAAGCTGGAGAAATTGGAACAGCTCTTCCCATGGCTGAACCATTTGATGACAACGGCATAGAGAACAAAGCAATAGCAGAGAAAACTAGACGAGGTAGGCATTCTACTATTTTTTTTATTTATTTCTACACCTTTCATTCATGCAGAGTATGCTACAGACACTCTTGTAACATACCACGTGCGCTGCCACCTGTATTATGATTGGGAGAAGGTCGAATTTAAGAGTTGATTTCTAGACATTGTCAGTAGCAATCCTTTGTTCCATTGTTTGAATTTCACAGCCAAAATCACCATTGCACTCCGAACAAAAAGGCTAATGCGAGACTTAAACTACCAAAAAATCGTCCTTGTTACCCATGGTGAATGGTGTATTATAAGAACGTTACATTTCCCAGTGTCGTATATGATGTAAACTCTGTCACTGTCTTTATTAATACAATTTTCTTTTTACAGCCAGAGAAGAAAGGAAACACACTGAACAAGCGTCGAAATCATCGACAAATCTGCCGGAGCACTAGGCACTGTTTCACGTGGCCAACTTCGCCAGTGAAGGTCCAATTGGCCACGATATTTGCGTCAGAAGAAGAGACGATTTCTAAATATTATGACAATATTATAAGTGACATTTTTTAATGAGTTTATTGTTATTTACAACAACAGTTGGAATGACTGTAAACAGACAATTAATCAACGTTCACTAGGCACAGTTTATTTTCAAAGGGTAGCCGTGCGCAGCTGCCTTGTGGACTACCGGGACACCAAGCGACGGTGGCAGTTGACCATTTTAGCTGTGTTTTCAGAAAAACTGTTTCGTTTATATTTTCATTGAGATATGCCTTTTATGTATCGTATTCAAATTTATTTTATATTCGTATTCACAAACAACACAGTTTATGAAAACTATAGTAAGTGAGTGTGTTAATGTCGCGGGGACGACGGCAACTGTTACAGCACCACAACTCCTCGCTATGATCTTTGAGTTTTGTTCATAATTTACTTTACTAACGGCGATTAAAAGCTTGTTTTAGTTTTCTTGGACATTGCTTAATATTGAGCATGGTATGTGTGTTTTTTTACAATTGTTTACGATTATGATAAACTGGTATAACGGAGAAGAAGAGTTTGAACGATCAAAGTATGCGAAAATCACTCGATATGTATTTTGAGTCTGGTCTCAATGGCACGGCAGCCATAGCCGAGAAAGAGTGACAGGTGTCTATTGTTAGGTGTACTCATTATGCTACTGAATATAACACTGGTTTATTTGTATTTTGGCATTTTTATCTCCGACAGTACATGTGACAGTGAAACATGAGAGATGATCCACTAAAATGGCCAAAGAATCGTTACAAATACAGTCACCATTACGCGCAACTCTGAAAATATCTAAACTGTAACTACCGATTTTTTTTTATTTTAGGTTGTGGGTCTAATTAACATAATTTATGTAAGATCGTTACTATTTTTAGCATCTAGTTTTTCTAATGGGTCGTTGCTTAGAGACAAGGCAAGGTGTGTGTGTCAAATTTTCCTTGAAAGCACAGTCATACCATGAATACGTAAACACCAAATCACTCTTAGTCACCAGCGTCAACAACAACAAATCACAATCGCCAACCAGGGTTTACTGTGTTAACAAGTTTATTGCTTCAAATGAAGCACTTAAATGACGTTAATTGCGAAAACAACACAAAAATACGCTGGTTAATGTGTAAAAAACGAGACATGTGAAAGTGGCGTATATTCTAGAAGCTTAATTTTACTAAAAAATAATGATTTAATTAAGAGAAGTATTGCCGAAAAAATAATAATCCTCGTATTAGTAATGTGGTACTAATATAACTTAGTTTGTGATTTAAAACTGGAAGGCTAGTCATCGAGGTTGCTAAGTTCATAACATTAGTAAACTTGAAAACTGCTTGGAGTCTTGAAAATAGGCTAGTATAGTGGTATGCTTCACAATGTCAATAGCGGGAACAATTCTCGAATATGCTGCCAATAATCTAAAGAAATAAATATGAATACGAGATTGGTGTACGATCGGATCTGTCAAGTTTTCGTTGAAACAGCATATAAAAACCAATTGAAAATATACTTACCACACATTATATCTAATGTCGTATGGCTAATTCGACAAGCTTTATAAATCCGTAGGGTAAAATCCACACTGGCGCAGTCCTGAAAACACAAACGTTATAACTGTAAAAACACGTAAAACAAGAATGCCACGGTTATTATGAAGTGTACGTATTGTCAACGTCATATAACCTACACTACGGCAATGGCAACTACTCCTGCCGATGCCACTCTAAGCGCGCCTTCATTTGTCTCGCACATACGTATACTGTTAGAAATTGGGTTCTTAATTCTGCCGTCACCCGGTTCGTAGTGTGGCATATTTCACTGTTTTGAATGTTAGCGAAAAGAAATCAGAAATGATGCCTCACCAACTAAAAGATAATAATACCCGTTTTACCTTTAAATATACCCGAGTTTGCATATCCTGTAGCCAATGGGGCAGCCCATTGGTTGGAACAGTCGCCTTTTAAGAAAAAAAAACGCAAATCAGCTTGCGATTGGTCCATGGAAGGTTATTTTCCATATAATGTTAAGTCTGACGACACCACAGAGTCCGGGGGAAAAACTCTAGACGAAATGTACCACCTTCTATTCTGAGAAAGAAAAAAAACATGCAATGGCGCAAAGTGAGCTGAATTTCTAAAAGTTGGAGTGTCACATTCCCCATTAGACTATTCGTATCAAAACTACTACAAAAATAAAAACTTAAAACCTGGACTTTACTAAATGTGTCAACCATATCGTTAGAATATAGTTGTAACTGTAGATCTAAATATACTACTACTACTACAATACACAATTCATTTATGTGGCAACGTTTGCTTATTGTGCAACACAACCAACTATTGACGGTGGCCATTTTATGTTATTTATCCATTTCATAATCTGTAAAACGTGTGTTATATTTATAGCCGTTCTCCAGTTCATTAATTTAAAACTATTTCGTTTTGTTTTATATCCACAACACAAATGACGTGGTGTTCGGAAAGACAATTCTACAACATCAATTTGTTGTTATTTTGGCGCTGGAACAACGCCATTGCACGTTTTATGAGTCTCGCTGTGGTTGACTGTGTACATCGGAGGTATTTATTAGGTGTTTCTTTAAGTAACAGACTATGATAATATGATTCATATAATATTATACATAACTACATGTTGACGAATATTCAAGTTGAGAAAATGCTGGAAAGTGTTTTGACGCGTACATAAATAGTCTTCACCTCGGGTACTTGTGTACACATCGATAAATGCGAATCCCTCCCACACTTTGCATATCATACTAATCATTTACATATGCTGTAGACAGCCACGCCTCCTGTGCAATTGAGATCACGCTAACTGTGATCATCGCTAAATTTGTAAGGGACTTTCCCTTCGATAACGGCTGAAAAAAATAATTTCGGCAAAAAGAAGTATTAAATAAAAACTACATCCAACTTCTAACACATTGAAAACATGATAAGTGTCGTTTATATTACTCTTGGCTGCTAATTGCACAGTGTTGGTACACATGTACGTATCATATCCATTTGCTTTGCCGATGAAAACACAATATATTATAACGTGTATGCAAGTATACAGGAAAGATAAATCAACTGACAATAGATCGATTTAAAGTCATCAATTAAATTCGATTTAATAAATTTAAAAAAAAAGTAGAAACTACTGTTTTTGAAAATATATAGAATATGCGTAAGGGTTAATCGCTCTGAAATAGCAGTTCTTGGACTTATATTTCTAGATTAACCACTGAAATACGATAATGGCGCTATATCTTCGTGAATTTTATCTGTCGAAATATAAAACAATCAGCATCGTGTACTTGGCGGATATAATCCCACGAGAGTAAGTAGACACAATCTTATATCAATCTATTACATTATCAATAATAAATATACAGATTTTTTGTGTCGGTGTTTTGTGGCTGATGTACCACATGCCCTATTCATAGTTACTCGAATAATTCAGTGATATTGTCCAAATACTGTGTTATTTTATCCTGTATTTGTTGTAGCTCCTTTTTTATAAAGCCCGTACAAAATGGCCGAATGGTATTCGTGTACGCTAGAAAGATGTGCTTAGTCGTATGTGTAGATAAAACAACGTATATTTATATTATCGAAGGTTGCTGAAATACTGGCGTATTAAGTAGTAAGTATTCTGTGACTATTGCTATTTGACAAATAATGTGTAGTATTGCAATGATAGCATTGCATAGACGCACTGTTCAGACCATGTACCGTAAGATATTTGTGGAGTTGTACATTTATCACATAGCATCCAATTAGGTTGTCCTACAGCTACGAACTCGGGCAACCTAAAGTAGTTGTCGTTTTAGAAAGGAAGACCATACCTTGTATCACATTACCCTACTATTATATAACTTCCTTGCATAGGAACGAACTCTATTACATATCTTGCACACTGTGGCCACCTCGCCAAATTTGTCCCTCTTTTACTGACCAATGCCCTTGTAATAAACATGTGCAGTTTAATTGCAATATGGAATAACTTCGTCTGGCTGATTTTAAAGAGTGATCAAATGCGTTCGATAGGTGGTACTTTGCATCGGTCTTCGTTTTCTCCTGGCTCATAGTGGTTGTTTTTCAAATAACCACAACCTTGGTTATTGCATTTACGCATAGCTTAGCTTCTTGTACTACTGACGTGTCTAATTACCGTGTTGCCTTATATATTTGTTTTCTGAAATTGAAGCCAAATTAGCATTCTTGAAGTTTGACATAATAATTGTTGTCCATTCCACGTTAACGTGTTATATGTATGGTCGTCAATCACTGGTTATTGGTTGAACTATGTTTCGCACAAGCTATTGTAAATTGAAGTGCAGACGCATTGGAGAACAACTCTAGTCTAGTCGATATTTCTGCGCAAGAATTCTCCGTACATGTGCATTGGCCTGGGTGTGTTTGTTTGTTTGCGTCAGTCCGTTGTGAAATTATACTGAGATTCGGTCAACGAATAAACCATGTGACAGTATGAAAGTCCCATGACTAGTCGCTATTGTGGGCGGGAATATCGTACATTCATTTTGTTCTAATGGTGTTTCTGAAATCCAAATGAACAGTTAATTGTGAACTGTTTGTTTCAATCAACAAATCCGAAATATAAATCTATCAAAGACCCGTGACTAGTCGATATTTTTTGGCGTGATTGTAGCGAACATTTTGTCCTATTGGTGTTTGTGGAATCCAAATTGACAGTTTATTGTGAACTGTTGGTTTCGATCATCAAATCCAAAATAGAACATTATGAAAGACCCATGACTAGCCGTTATTTTTGGACGCGAATATAGCGAACATTTTGTTCTATTGGTGTTCGTGGAATCCAAATTGACAGTTTATTGTGAACTGTTGGTTTCGATCATCAAATCCAAAATAGAACATTATGAAAGACCCATGACTAGCCGTTATTTTTGGACGCAAATATAGCGAGCATTTTATTTGTCTTGTGGGAATTTGCTGAATCCAAATGGACAGTTTATTGTGAACTGTTGGTTTCGATAACAATTCAACTAAAGAGCAGTAGGAAATGTGATTGACTAATCGCTATTTTAGTGCGATTACTGATTGTGAACTAGGGTAATTCCCAAATATTCCGCCGCGTTTTTGTTGTCCTGCTTTACGTCTCATTCGAATAGAAGCCACCATTTCAGACACCGCTTTCGTATTGCCTCAGCGAGTAATAATCATGAACAGTTTGGATTCCTCATTTTGTTACGCTGTTCATTACTATTTCATCGGCTGTAGTATGACCGAACATTGGGACTTGTACCAAACAGATCCCATAACACGGTGTAAAGACGTGACTGGTGAGATCGCAACAGGGCATCGCATAGCAGAACCCCTGGATAGTGACAACATTCAGAACCCAGTTATTCAAGATAAGATAATACAAGGTAATATGATATGATATGAATTTTATTCAGTACAATGGCCTCAGGCCTATGGTACAATAAATCAAAAAATAGAAAAATACATACAGAGGGATTCCTTTAAAGAATTGTTCAATCTACTAGTCACAACTGGTTAAGTAGATTGACTCTGTGTTTAGAAGCGTAGAATACAAATTTTGAAATTTGAAGAACAGATAAGTTGTCGAACTGCATTAAACGAAGAAATTTTTCGTAAGTCTGATTGGACAGATAAAATTTAGGTAAATATTTTTTTCTAAGATTTAAAAAACGTGGACATACAAGGCAAAAATGGTATTCATCCTCAACCAACCCTAAATTACATAATTTGCAGATCCTCATATTCCTCGGTATGTTTAGTTTACGGTCAGATTCAACCCGAAAGGTTGTGGGATGATGTTCTAAGCTGACATAGCGCAGAACGTAACTTGTTGTCTTTTATTAAATGCAAATATTTTTCACATTCAAAATCGATCTTAAATATCTGTATTTATCGAGTTTAGGATAATTG